CCCCCCACCAATTAATCCACCCTGCCCTGAAACCCAAGGCGGCCCCCCCCCCTGGCCTGTCCACCCACTGGCCCCCACTCTTCAGCCGAGTGCAAACCTGGAGTAGAGCCAAGCGAGCTGGAACTAGAAGGTAAGATCAAAGGCAGGGGAGGGAAAGCCACCCCGGGGTGGCTTGCTGAAGTTGGTGGGAAAGTTGTTCCCATATTCCAGAGCTGCAGTAGTCACAGGACTGGCTTGTGCACTGGTCTTCCATGGATGAGCTACTCCGGGATGACCAAAGGGCCAGTTTTGTGACTAATGCAGCTCTGGAATATGGGACCAGCTCGTGGTGGGGTGGAAATCTCCGCTGGAGGGGCTGGCAGCTGTAATGTGCAAATTTGCAGGTGGTGCAATGTGCAAAAAGCAGCGCAGTCCTCGCCGGCCAGGATGAGGTAATGGTGCTGTTGCAGCAAGAGGGGGCTGGCGGCACAAGCAGGCTGAAATGGTTCCTCAATGGCCGCAGGCTGTAGGGACAGCCCGGGGCAGGAAAAGTACCAGCTGGTGGTGGTGGGAGGCGTCGGAGTGGGCAAGTCTGTGCTCACCATCCAGTTCAGAGGCCCCAAATGTGGTCGCAGTGTCAGTTTTCGGGGATTAATAAATTACAGTGGCTTTTCAGTAGACCGACTCACAATTGTTCTTCATAAATATGAAGTTGGCAAACATAGCCGCAGCAAAATGCATGGCTAATTGAAACTGCTACTGTTCTGAATGATGTAGATCAGTTCCCACATTGGTGTTTGTTATGTCCATTGGTACCCTGAGCAGAGGGATTGAAAACATTACCTGTTGGAAAACAGGTGAAGAGTTAGTGCCATTATTGCAGTTGGTTGAGAAAACTGTTAAGAACTGTCAGAAAAGTGTTGTACAGGTAGAACTTGACTTAATACCTCATGGTGGGACTGGAATTTCCATTGCTAAGTGAGCAGGGGTGGGATTCAAATTTTTTAACAACCGGTTCTGTGGATGTGGCTTAGGTGGTGGGTGTGGCTTGGTGGTCATGTGACTGGGTGGACATGGCTTGGTGGTCATGTTATTGGCTGGGTGTGGCCAACTCAATATCACTCACATTGAGGCACACATCTCCTCGCCTGGCCTGTCATGACTGTGGGGATGTTGCAACAGTCGTAAGTGTGAAAAATAGTCATAAGTCACTTTTTTCAGTGCCATTGTAACTTTGAATGGTCACTCCCTACAAGCAAAATACCAGCAAAGAAGGTGGAAAAAAACTCTATAGAGATGTTCCTGGGACAGGAAGTTTAGTTCTGCCAAGAATGTAATAAGGGTTAATGGAAAGGCAGTTTCTGTAAGCAACACCAGAATGTTTCCTTCCTGCCTTCCTTACAGGATTAGGCCAGTAATTTCTTCTAACAACCTGTTCTCCGAACTGTTTAGAATGTTAGCGAGTAGGTGTGAACTGGTAGAATCCCATCCCAGTAAGTGAGGCTGTTGTTAAGTGAGATACACCCAATTTTATGACCTTTTTTCTTGCCATGGTGGTTATGTGAATCACCCCAGTTCGTTATATGAATCACATGTTCATTAAGTGAATTCAATTGGCCTCATTGGCTTTGTTTGTCGGAAGCCAGTTGGGAAGGTCACAAATGGGGATCATGTGATCCTGGAGGAGGCTGCAAAGGTCCTAAATTTGTGCTGGTTGCCAATTTTGATCATATGATTGTTGGGATGCTGCAGTGGTTGTAAGCGTGAGAAGCAGCCACAAGTTCCTTTTTTCAGTGCTGTCACAACTTTGGACAGTTGCTAAATGAACAGTTGTGAGTTGAGGAATATTTGTAGCACAGTATATTAATCAGCTCTTTTGATTCTAACAGTGGCCAGCTTGGCATCTTTTAAGATTTCTATACAGGTAGTCTTCAACTACCATTGAAGTAATGACCAACAGTTCATTTAGTGACCATTCAGTTACTATGGCACTGAAAAAAATTATTTATTATGTTTTTCACAGTTATGACCTTTCCAGCATCCTCATGATCATGTGATCAAAATTCAGATACTTGGCAACTAGTTCATGCATATGACCGTTGCTATGTCCCAATGTCATGTGATGCCTTCTGCAACTTTCTGAGAAGCCAAGTCAATGGGGAAGCCAGGTTCACTTAACAATCAGTTTACTGACTTAGCAACTGCAGTGATTCACTTAACAACTGTGCCAAGAAAGGTTGTAAAATGTGGCAAAACTCACTTAACAAATGTCTCAAGTTAACAGCAGAAATTTTGGGATCAATTGTGGTCATAAGTTGAGGATTACCTGTACTCAAACAGTATATAAAAGCAGATGCATTGCCTTTTTGCATACGCTTCTTCCTTTTATATCTCAATATATTGCCAAATATTTAAATTTAATAATTATGTTAGATAGATTATAGAATTAGATTGACTCATTCGTGAGTCAGATGCCCTCTATATCTCTTAAACAGGGCTATCAAACTCCCGGTCCGCAGGCCAGATGCGTCACGTGCTGGCCACGCCCATACCTGATTTAGCAAAGGGGAAAAAAGTCTCGATACATCACGTGACACCGCCATGACAATGTGAGTTTGACACCCCTGTCTTAAAATAATAAATAAATGGTAGTTATCATTTTGAGCTAAGGAAGAAGGGTGTTACAGTTCACACATCTGGAGGATATCACATTGAGAAATATTATAGTTCTAAACACCTTTCTCCTTGGGGTTTATGATACTACCTTTCTCACCTCTTGAATAATATTACTGAATGAACCTAATTGTAAAAAGGGACTCCAGTAGAGGTGCTCTGTCATAATTGCTGGCCGTAGTAAAAGAATTAACATGAATTTCAATAAAATAGGAGAATAAAGAGTAGGGTGCATTACTGCATAAGAGTGGAATTTTATGGGTGGAAGGATATTTTCATTATCTGATTAATGAGAGACGTGTTCAGATGATCGAGGAACGGATGTTAGTAGTTGAATGAATTCAGTTGTCTTCCAATAAGTTGCTCATAATATAGTGTGCCAACTAAATCTAGAACCTGTTGGAATGGGTTTGCAGCCATAATATATCCTTCTCTTGTCCCTTGACAGAATCTTTGGATGAGCGGATTCATTTATGAGCAGAAAAATGAATGATATGGTGGTTTCTATTGCTGTGCTTCTGTATCTTATCTGAGGCAAAGGAGATGATCAAGGTTAGTAAAGTTAAGATACCGTAGATATGAATTTTGTTCCTTCCATTATAACTGGTACAATGAAAAGGTAGCAATGTCAGTTAGGCAGTTGTTGTCCAGACTATTTGTTAACCATGAAAAGCACCAACAGTTGTGGCAGTTCTTAAGTAGTGTAACTTGTGCAAAAGATGTGACTGCTTTAATCATTCAGGGAGAATTATTACTTTTGGACTCGGGCATGATGCGAAGCCTCTCTTTAGATGCTTTATGTAGTGCTGTAAGTTAATGAAATCTTCCTTAATTTTTAATCAGCATAGAAATATTTAATTCTTGATATTTTATAAATGGACTAGAAATGGAGTTTGAGAGTAATGATTTAGTCTATTTGGGCTAAATTCTGGTTTTAAAGAAAGCAATGTTTCTGTAATAGAGCTATTGGTTTTTTAGATAATATTTTTAAAGCATGATTTAAAAAATTAATTCTAAAATAAAATGGCAATCAGTGGTCATTCTCCCAACATAAGCAGATATTATTGACATTAAGTTGTAAAATGAAAATAAAGAGGAAATTATTCTGCAACTTTCTTACTATCTAAACCTTACCTTACTAAATTAAAATGCCAGATGACTTCATGAATATTAAAAGAATAAGCTTTCTTGTTATTTTACAACAAATTAGTATAGTGTACAATCTTAAAGTACAATCTATTCATAATTCCCATTACTATAAAAATTACTCTTCTAACTTCTGACCACAATGAACATTATAAAATTCTCCAAAGTATATGCGATTTGCACTCACTGTTTCCATTCACCAACATTTAAGTGAAAAATTAGTTTGGAAAAAAAACTGTTTGTAAGCAGCATATTTGTACATATAGTTTGATTGTATTTGCTTCACACCAATGGTAAAATTAATAAGGAGACATATCTGATAGTTTAAATCCATGGTTATATTTAAATCTTTCTGAAAAAGCACAAACTTTTCAGCAAATACAGTTTCAAACTGTCTAATGATATGAGCTAATTTGAATATCCCATAACTTGAATCCATACATTCAGACATAATTTTTTCCATAGATGCTTACCAGCTTAAGAGATGGAAGAGTTTATTCTACCATACAGCTTGTTCACACGCTAGTATTTTATTTTATTTTATTTTAAACTAGCATAATCTTTGAATGTCTCAATTATTTTCTTGGCCAAGTTGTACTTAATTTGGTTTATAGATGAAGAATTTCTGAATGTCTTATCTTCTATAAATCTACAGGATAACTTATGAAAATACAGGACAGTCCTTAAATTAATTTAATATTAACATTTATAAATTGTTAATTTAATATTAATATTCTTAATTAATATTTACTTAATATTAACTTAACATTTACTCCCTTCTCGCATACTTTATATATAAAGCACACTAAAAGTTACCTCAGAGCTTTTTAAGAAGTTGGGTTATGAACAGCATGCATCCTTTAATTTCTGAATGGATCATTTCCCAGGAACAGCTACTGTGTTGCTTCACAGTTAGGAAATTGTGCATTCTTTGAAAATATCTTTTCACTTTTAGAGTTAGCAAATAAGATGTCACTTTGTCACAATTCATTGGTCCCTTCGGTATCTCAGTCGCATTCAAGCACGTTTCTAGATTCGTAATTTGCTGGTGAAGGACATTCTTTAGGTTTTCGAAACATGTTGAGTTCCAGGCATGGTAGGAATGGGCATTTGAAAGAAGGCAAGAAATCTGTTGGAGGAGCTCATAGATGATATCTGCATTGTCTCTATTAGTGACTTCAAGAACTTCCAGAGGAAAATTAAAGTCTGTCAGTTCATCTATGCATTGCAGTGGAATTTCTTCATTTGTTCTGCAGAGATGAGGTAAGTTATTCTGGATTAGTTGTTCCCACTGAGCATGAAAGATGGAGCATCTGAAAACAGAGGATTGATTGGGTTTTGCAAAGAGAACTAGCGCAAGGAAAACTTTTAAGATATAGTTATGAGTGAGGGTGATCATGATGATAGTGGAGACTTGTGTTTCCTGAAGTCTCTTTAAATACATTTTGGAGTATATTTGTCTTCCTCGTTAATTTATTAATCATAATATAGTTTCTTCCGGATTCTAAATGCCTTTAGGACATATTACTCTGTGTTCCTCTTAACTGAGGACTAGCTGACATTTGGGGTGGTTCTCTCCCCACCCTGCCAGACTTTTACATTCTTAAACAAATTTGGTTCACAATGTTTACCTTGGAAAATGCATTGGGACAGTACTTCCCAAATCTGGATAAATTACTCCAAATTGGATAAAAGTGGGTTTTCTTTGGGTAACAGTACATGAATCCATTACTCATCACAATAAAAGGTAAAGATAAAGGTTCCCCTTGCACATAGTGCTAGTCGTTTCCGGCTCTAGGGGGCGGTGCTCATCTCCATTACAAAGCTGAAGAGCCAGCGCTGTCCGAAGACGTTTCCGTGGTCATGTGACCAGCATGACTAAATGCTGAAGGCACACGGAACGTTGTTACCTTCCCCCAAAAAGTAGTCCCTATTTTTCTACTTATAGTTTTACATGCTTTTGAATTGCTAGGTTGGCAGAAGCTGGGAAAAGTGATGGGAGCTCACTCCGTTACGCAGTGCTAGGGATTCAAACCGCCAAACTGCTGACCTTTCCGATCGTCGTCATCACAATACAGACATTTTAATTAATGCCATAGGTACTAAAAATATATTTAAAATGTCCCAGAATATTTTGGGATATTAACTTGAAAATTAATGGATAATGTGTTAAATGAAATAAATATCATTCAGTTATATCATTTAATTCATACAGATAATCCTCAAGTTATGACATTCGAAGTTACAGTGGTGCTGAAGGAAAGGACTGACTACCGATCATCAAAGTTCAGTTAGACTTTCCATTGACTTCTCCATTGACTTTGCTTGTCAGAAGCTGGTTGTGAAGGTCACAAATGGTGATCATGTGACCATGGAATGTTCACCAGTTGCCAAGGGCCCAAATCATGACCACCTGCCTCTGGGGATATTGCAGTTGCAACTTTGGGGGCCAGTTGTTAAGTCTCAGTATTTAACGCTATTGTAACTTCAAATGGTTGCTGAATGTCTGCTTGGTGAGCAAAGACAATCTGTATATACAGGCAGTTGGCACCAGGATTGCTGTTGGAACGTGATGCAGTCATAAAATGCAGTGCTTCATCACCGTATCGCTTAGCACTAACAATCGAGAAGTCCCAGTTGCCTTCATAAACCTGAGGTGTGTAAGTTGTTAAGTGGAAGCAGTGAGAGTTCGAGGTAAAGAGTACAGGGGTCTGCTATAGATCATGGGAAGGATTCAGTCTGGGTCGGTCACCAGAGGTTTTGTCTTCCGAGCTTTTGGACTCATGGTGGAGCCCATCCACACAGAACCTCTCTCTGTGCTTTGGGCTCTTCTGTGTGTGGTGTTTATATGGTGGCTGTTATGTGTAGAGGAGATTTTAGATGTAGATTGGGTTATTGATGTCTGGCTGGTGTTGACAGCTGATGGATGGCTAGATCGTGGGAAACCCAGATACAGGCTGCAGATGAGTTGAAGGACACAGTGCATGTGAGTAAATAAAGGCCAGAGATGAGGGAGACTTACCAAGCTAACAAAGTCAATGGAGAGGTCCATTTTTCCATTGACTTTGTGTGTAGGAAACTGACGAGGAAGGTCACAAATGATATTTGCTTTGATTGCAAGTTCATTTAATCGCAGGAGCAATGCAACTGCTGGAACTTTGAGGACTGGTTCTACATCCCTTTATTCAGTGCTGTTGTAACTTCAAAAGAATGAATGATGTTAAGGAGAAGGGGTGTTTGTGGGTGTGTAAAAAAATATGTTTAAAGGAGCAAAAACAATACCTGGCTGAATCAGACCCCTGGCTCATATAGTCCAGCAGTCTCTTCTCATAGTGGCCAGCCAAGAGCCATGGAAGGAACCCCACTAGTGTCCCGGCCAATGGTCTTCACATTGCCATTAAATGGTCTTCACATTGCCATCACTATTCCCCACAAGTTCTAATAATTGATGCAACCTTTTTTTGAAGCTAGACAAGCTATAGAAAGCATCACATTTCAATTCCAAAGTTTAATTATGTGCTTTGTTTAAAAAAAAAAAAAAAAAGGACATATATTTCCTTTTGTCTGTCTTGATTCTTTCAGGTTTCAATTACCTTTGGTGACCTCAGGTTATAGAATTGGGGAAAGAGAAAATAGCAATAGCACTTATACACAGCTCCGAGTGCTTTACAGCACTCTCTAAGCAGTTTTACTATGCCAGCATATTACCATACATGTGCATCCTTTGGATGATAGCCCTGAGTGAGATCATGTATTTTATATAATAATTTTATATAACTGCATGAGACAGATGATTTATAGCCATACTAAACTTTATTAGATAGTGAAGACAGAGAATAGAGAATCAAACAATGTTTTCCAAAAGAAAGTTGTTTTTTTACTATAGAGTGTGGTTGAATCCAGGATACAACTAAGGAGACCACTATTTGCATTACTCATAAAAGGCTGGTTTTGAATTGTTTTGCGGAGGGAAGGGATAAGAAAGCAGAAATCTAATAGCATGTTACAATAAGTTGTCTCTTCTGATGGAATATATGTTTCCAGATTTTCAGGTAGCATGTAACAATATTTGCTCAGTTTTCTCTATGTGGATATTGGTATGTCAGACTTCCTTATAGAGCTGCACTAATCCTTTGGAAGAAAAGCTTGCTAACAGGAAGCTGCTAGGAAAACAATGAAGTAAAGTGCCTGTTTATATACCTTTAAAAAGATGTGTAAACCCTTTCTAAGGGCAGTAGGGTAACCTGAAGAGAGAGAAAGAGAAAGGGAGACAGACAGACAGAGACAGAGGTTAGAATGCAGCATGGCAGGCTAATTCTGCCAACTGCCAGGAGTTCAATCCTGACTGACTCAAGGTTGACTCAGCCTTCCAAGGTGAGTAAAATGACAGTCCAGATTGTTGGGAGCAATATGCTGACTCTGTAAACAGCTTCAAAAGGGCTGTAAAGCATTGTGAAGCAGTTTATAAGTCTTAAGTGCTGTTGCTGTTACTAAACTGCAATTTGCTAATCAGGTTTTACAAACTACTAGCCTCCAAACATTTTCCACTTTACTGATTTTTTTTAGTAGTGCCCTTGCATAAATCATTTGTAACCCCATAAAGAAAAAGAAACAAATTTTCACAACAATCACATTCAAAATAATAATTACATTTAGCTATCACTGTTTAGACTGAAGGATCAGCCATTAAGTAAAGCAGTCATTAAGTGATACTGTGGCTATGCCTACAGTTGTACTTTAGCTTCCATTTACTTTACCTGACCTGTTTTACTAGACCTGCAAAGATAATAAATGCAAAGATTTGGTCCCAAAGTTACCTTTCTCATTAGTGTCATAAATATGATCAGTTGTTAAGTCAGTCGCTAAACAAGGACTTGTAGATCTGAAAGCATTATTTGCAACTGCTCTAATAGTCAATAGTGAATTGCTCTTATGTCTTATATGTTTATTATTCAATTTTTTTCTGTTATGATTATTTCAATGCATGAAAGTCATTCTGCCAAAATTTATGATACTTAAAAAAGAAAGCTTATTTTGTGCAGCACAAATATTACAGTAGAAGCACACACTGAATTGGTCCTGTTGGAATTTGTCCATCTCATTTTGTTGATATGACAAGAAACCTCACAAGCTGTCAAGAAGACAACACAGATTCTGTGCATATGGGAAAACAAATATGCATAATTAATACAAAAGTGGGCACATGTTCTTCATTTCATTGAGTTAAACTGAAAAAGCAATAACGTAAGGTACCCTGGAATTTAAACTAAATACCATTGTTCCCAAAGAAGATTTTGAAGCAGCGAAGGAGACAAAAAAGGGAAAGGATTAGGGTTTTTTTCCTTCCCTTTCATATACTGACAGCTAAGAAACTTAAGCAAGAAATTGGGAAAAAAATCCACTTTGACATTAATAGGCATTTAAGCTGAAAATAAAAGTCAAAGGGATAATAAAGATTTCTGGATATTTAAAAGTTTTTAAAAGCAGGAAAGGAGAAAAAAAAGAATAAAAGGGTAGGATCTGGGAAAAATGGAGGAGACTACCTGGAACTAAGGAATGGAATTGTAACTAAAAGGAACTTACAGTGAAACTTTAACAAGATTCCCCAAAGATACATCCTAACTGAAACTTGGCAACAAAATAATAGAACCCCAGGAAGAGAAAGTAGAAAAAAGCAAGAAGAAACAGCCTTGGATTATTTGGGTTACTTGGTGATTTTTGGTTTTTGCATCTAAATGACTAAAACTAATCGGGTGGTTGTTTAAAAGTGTTTAAAATGGCATCACTCTTAGAAGAACTGAAAATGGAATTGAAAAAATGGAAAGAAGATGCACAAGAAGAGAGAAGTTCTTTTGGCTTCGTGTTTCAATTCTTAGAAATGGAGATCTGGAACTATGAGAAGTAATAAGAAACGCTTGCAGAACAAGAAGATTGGGACAAAGAAGAAGCTATCTTTAATGATCAAATAATTTTAAGTGGGGGGAAAAAAGGAAAGGGGGGAAAGAAAGTGAAAGGTTTAAGACTAGAAAAAACAACCAAAAAGAAGAAGAAGAGTTTGAAAGATAAGTATAATATTAGAAAGCAACAGAAGAGGGGATTACAGAAGAGAGAATTAGAAGTAGAGAGACGAGGGGGTAAAAAGGGGAGGAGGAAGAAGGTAAGGAAAAGAAGTTGTAAAAGACAGAAACAAGATATAGAGAAACAGGGAAAAGATATAAGGATTGGAACCATAAGCCTGTTTAGAGATAATGGGTGAAAATTTA